TCCCAACGCCCCACCAACCCTGCCCTTCAACACGGCCAGGGAGCCAGGGGCAGCCACAGCTTTGCTGGGCAACCTGTGCCAGGGCCTCACCACCCTCACAGGGAAGGATTTCTGCCTCACATCCCATCTCCATCTCCCCTCCTGCAGATTCAGGCCATTCCCCTTGGCCTGTCACTCCCTGCCCTTGGCACCAGCCCCTCTCCAGCTTTCCTGGAGCCCCTGCAGGGACTGGAAGGGGCTCTAAGGTCTCCCCGCAGCCTTCTCTTCTCCAGGCTGAACCACCCCAACTCTCTCAGCCTGTCTCCATAGCAGAGGTGCTCCAGCCCTCCCATCATGTCCATGGCCTCCTCTGGACTCGTTCCAATAGCTCCATGTCCTTACTATCTTTGCGTGTAATAGCCCCAATGGATATTGCTTCCATTCATTTGTCTGGGTGTATTTTGAAAATTGTCTGGTGCCCATGATCTGCTAGCCAAGCAATGGATCTCTGTGACATTTTAACAAGCAGAGGAAGCTCTACTCCATCTCTGCCTTCCTAAACCCTTTCCTTTCCTCTCAGTACATCAGGTATATGATACCGTGCAATAGCAACATTAATGGGCCACTAACAGTTTTTTTAAAATGGTAAGATGAGAAATATTTAGCATATAGTTTAAAAAAAATAATAAATGCTACACTGGCTCTGCACACATAACTTGAAATGTAATGCAAGTCCCTACTTTTTTTTTTTCCAATGTCAAACAACAGCTGTACAACAGGTGGGAACTAATAACTTATTCAAGGCAAGTCTATCAGGTTTTTCGAACTATAAACAGATACTGCACTTAGAGAATGGTTACAAAAGAAATGTTAAAATAAGTCTTGCCACAGCTAATGTAACTTTTCAACCCGAAGAACTCCTGTTCTCCAAGTTTCCTCTCTCGGTATTAATCCAAAAACTAATCATGCAATCGTTCTCCGACAGGCGATTGCGTCCACACAGCACGTATCAAGGCTGCGAGGGCAAGCAGATGAGGAGCTGCTGAGCAGGGAGCATGACAACCACAACAGCCTCTGGGTGGTACAGGCCAGGGCCAGAGGATCTGTACTGCCTACCATTAAGCTCTAGCCCCAATCCTGCTCCCCTCCCAGTAACACTTTCTTTAA